CAGACCATATATGGTAACAATATTCTAAGCATGGATTAATGGTAGATATATAAATTCTGAGTGGAATTTTCTCCTTACATTTAGCATGGTGTGTCCAGCTGTAAAGGTTTTAACTTGAGGAATTAAAGAATAGAGCTCATGTGAACATTTATGATGAAAATATTGATACAGTAACAATAGACTTGTAGTGCTGCAACTGTGGAAAAGAGGCTGCGGAGAGGAGAATCAGTTTCCTTCCACATAAAGACCACATAAATAATTTTAAATTATTCCACATAAAGATCACATAAATAATTTAAAATTATCCTCTTAGTGACATTGTTGCCTTGCTTGGGGTAAAATGATAAAAGACTAAAATTGAAACTCAAGAAGAATTAATGATATTTTTGTAATCAGTAAATTTTAATCAGAATCAATGCTGAAACTGACAACTATAAACTTTGAAAATTTTTCTTGCATAGTTTAACTGAAAGTAAAGATTTCAAACATTTACTATTTAAGAAAGAATATGTTAACTGAATCAAAGGTTTTTTTTTCTATTTGCTTTTTTAAAATTAAGAATAAATACACAAGATTACAAGAAATGTTTCAACTTTGTTTTGATTGCCCAGTTCACACTCTTTCCCCATCTATTGTACAGGAGTAGGGTTTTATCCCTTGTTTCCTGTTTAGGATTGGGTTCCCAGTTCCTTCTAAAGACTTCTCATTCTCTTTCATTCACAGTAACCCCTTGTATCTTGGAGTGGTATCACCTGTTAGGGTCCTAGCTGTGAGCAAATAGTGATCCCCCACAAAAAAAACTAAACAAAACACTATGAAAGTATAAAAATACATTTTTTATAATAAAAATACCAGCAATATATTTTTGTATAAAAAAATTACCAACAATACACACACATACTAACAAATTGTAGCAACTTCACCCAAATCTGTTTAAAATAATACCAAACAACCAACATGAAAGAACTTTCATGACATTAATTCATATATCCTACAATTTCTTAAATTAAACTGTATTACAAAATATTGCTTCACAAAACACACATCACCACCTTTAGTAATTATGTCCACACAAACATCTATATGCACAAAAGCTGAGTATACAAACAAATCTACAACCTTGCATCTTAGTGGCATTATCACCTTACTTGAGGTAAAATGATTAATATCACTAAGGAAAAACAGCTAAAAATATTTCAAGTATACTTGAATTATTGTATACTCTTGTGGGTAGTGTAACAGTAGCTTGGAAAGAGAAATTTGCAAGCTGAGTTCAAATCCTGGCTGAGCTCATTAAATTCATTTTTACATAAATACCCTTAGTAAAGGTATGTGTGACATAGCAGAGATAACTGGGGTTTCTTGCCTTGATGTGGTAACTAGTCTAGGAGAAAAAAAAAAACTCTGAATTTCGAAACTAGCCTGAAAAGGGATGGGCTCTGTCAAACTGACCCTAGCCCCAATAGCATGTAGGAAAGGTCGCAAAGGATGCAATGACCCCGGGCATCCAATTAAAGAGTGAAATAAAAATTTAGTTTATATTTCATTTAAATAAAATGTTTATTTCATGTTTCATTTATTTTTACATATTTAAATGTCTTCCTTTTTCACATTTCTCAGTACTAGGCCATATAGGCTCCCCACCCCCCTACTCAAGTCTTAGGGGCATACAATCAAGAAGTTGGCCCTGGGAAAAATTAAACACTGCCAAACCTCTGCACATCACTGACTAGGCCCACTATAGCTGCAGTACTTATGATGTCCCTATAACCCTAATGGGTTATGGAATCTTGTGACATGATGTAATGCAATACTTTTATGATCCTATTATTTATATCAAACTTGCCAATCAAACTTTGAAATTCACATTAAGTTTTAGAAGATAGTAACCTCTTTCAAAATGTAACATGTGTAGTATACACATGATCTGGTTTGATGAATACTTTGATAAGGTGAGAAACCATATAATTTTATATTTATGATTACATGACTGTTGAATAAAAGCTAAACTGTGTTCAATAAAATCCAACAGTATTTAAGATTAAATGTCAAGGCTGTTCTGAGTAAGGTTTTTGAGTAAATATCTGTCAAATTATATATGCGACAACTCTGTAACCGGTTTGGTCATCCTTCAAGAAAAAATTATAATACAAAAAATAAAATGATTATTATTAAATTATTATTATTTATAGATTATGTTGCCATCTATACATTATGTGCAAAAACAGTGTTTTACTCAGACACAAATAAAAGAATAAATAATGGCTGACAGAAACTATTTGCATTTAAGAGTTATCTCCCTTGAAACATTGCATTTTCTTTTTTTTTGTGTGAGGAGAAATGTTGACCTCACAATATTATTATTCATTTACAAATCATGCCAATTATTTATTTACTTTTGTATTCTTTAAGTAAGCACATTATAATTGTAATTCAATATTTATGGTTACAATGCACCTAATGGAGATGATAGGCAAGAAAAAATATTTCCAGTACATTTCCCCATTATAAGCATTATTATAGCCATGATATAGTAACACTTTAATACATGAACAGAACAGAATAGTCAAAACAAAGGAATGGCAAATATGTATTATTCTTAAAAGAGATTGTTATATACCACTATGTTATACAATAAGTTATATATAAATATTTGTTATTAATTTGTCCCACACAGAGAAATTGTAACATATGAATAAGACAAGCAGAGTGGCAAGGCAAGAAGCAAGGGGATTCTACTTGTAATATTTCCTGTAGTGAAAACGACCAGGCTGGTGGTATTTTCTATGAACTTTGAGGTAACATGTAGGTTCTTCTGTTTTCCCTACCACTGTCGGCTTGAGATGACATTTATCACCTTATTGGTCTATAACTGGTGTAGGCAGACATGTCTTGTCTCAATGTGTGCTAAAAAGCAACTGAGTTTTTGTCCCCCTTTAACCTGATATCACTTACTGGCTGTCATGTTACCCACATGAATTTGTCTTAATTGCCCTTTGCATACCTACTAATACCTCCACCCTAAACAGGTTCTAGAACCTGCTACAAGGAGTTACTTTTATTATGCTTTTTGAGACAGCAAAATAGAAACAGGGGCACATAATTTGTGAAACTATACTGTTTGCATGCATATTCCTTTTCTATAACACCATTTTGGTTACTCAGAGATTATATACAGATAAAAGCAAACTCCTAATAATACAAAGTGATACTGAACAGTTATTGGACCAACCAGGGCTTTTTGATATTCTAGTATTTGGTCAGATTTTGGGAAGTGGATTGGGCACCTCCTTGCACATATTATTAAAGAAAAACAGATAAAAAATTCAGACATTTAATAACATATTATTATTATTATTATACCATGTACAGATCCAGATTTAGACCTTAAGAAGCCCCTAGGTTTATAAAATTTGGGGTGGCCCTTCAATATGTATGTGATTTCCACTGTCTATTTAAAAAAGAGAAATTTTCAGATGATGCTTTTTTTGGTGTAAAACATGAAACACTTCAACTAAAATTTTTAATGATTTTGGAATTTAAAAAGAAAATTATGCAAAACTAAAAAATCTATATGTATATAAAAAAAAAAAATGCATCAAAATGTGAATATGATCCCCTCTGAATTTAAAAACCCACTCTAACTAGAGGGGTCTGAATACTCTAAATGGTTTTAAATTAGTTCAAAGAAGCCCTATTAAATCTGAAAATAAACTATTGTCCTCTGTTTTTATATCTTTATTTGTTTTTTTTAGTTTTATCAAGCCTCTAGGATACAGTGGATATATAAATCTAGAACTGGGTATGTACCATAGTAAATTCAGTACTGGGTATGTACCATAGTAATGAATTGTAAGGTCCAAGGGAAAATGATTAGAATTATAACTAATACAAATAGATAAGTCTAAAGAAAGTGTAGCAGATGCCACACCTGGTTTTGGGCATGCATAAAACATCTGAGAGAATTCATAGTGCAAGTCCCAAGAATCTAGCCCTCTTTCATACTATGCTGGGGACGAGGTAGCACACCAAAGTCAGCACTCCCAGGACAGACACACATGGCTTAGATAAGACCCTTCACTCACAAACCGAGTAAGTTCAAGAACATCCATTTCTTCCTTTTTGCAAAAACTATTATGAGAACATTCCCTGTATTTATACTTTCTTTCAGGAACTATCCTTGAACATTCTTCATACTAAAAGTTTCTGACAGAATAATAATTTCTATCTCATTATATTCGTTCTCTTGTTTGTGTATTTTCTTAACCAATTCAACACTCGTATTTTTTGTTTGTTTATACAACACCTCCTCAAACTCAAATAATGACTCCAAACCAAACTCAATGAATGTAAGCATTAAAACTAGTATTGGTACTAATATAGAATTTGAAAGGACTTGGAGTAAATAAAAAAAGAAAAAAGACTAATAGGTATGCTAGGTGAGAGAGAATATTTCCAGTTGCCCATCATAGGCATTAGTATATCTGTGACATTCTAACAGTTTAATACAATGGAAGCAAGGACCAGAATAACTGAAAGAACGGAATGCCACATATGCATTGTTCTCAAAGAGATTTTACATACTGCTATGTAATACCAGATATTATATACAAATATGTATCTGTCATTATTTGTCCCACTCAGAGAATGATAATCTATAAACACAACAAGCAGTGTGAACTGGCAAAAATCTAGAAGGTTTCCCAAAGGGAAAACTGCTATGATTTTTTTTGTTGAGTTTATTTAGTTTCATGTGTTCCTAAATTCCACTGTCACTCATGCCTAGATCCCTTGTGGTCTACTTCATAACTAAGATTCATGACTCATCGGCGATCATGTAACCCTTGTGACTTTCTTCTACCAAAATGGAGATAATCATCATTTACATCCCTAAGAATCAAACCAGCCTAAAAGTAATTTTGATACTTTATATTCATACAAATTTTACTTCATTATTTACATGAAAAGAAATCATTTAAAAAAGAGCCTTCATATGATACCTGTATTTTCATAATGGGTTCCATTAAAACAGTATTGGCTTCTTGAAGGGCTTTTTGCATAGCACTTATTGAGCAGGCACTAACCATTGGCAGAGAAGTTCCACGGTTAATGACAAAGTCATGGAGAGACACAGACACATGAATAACTGGGAAGTTCAGCACAGGACCTAAAAAAGAAATGAGTCATTTATTTATAATGACTTTAGGAAAGAGTTTCTTTTCTTTAATACTACTTAATAGGGTAATTGAATAAGTGGATAATTGAAGTATCTTGAAGAGTTGAATGTCCAGCTTTTTATATTAACTTGTAACATTTGAGCAGGTAGCAGCTTTCTTTTGGTTTACCATGGAGCTGTAAAAAAATCTGATTGCCAAAACTTTAGGTGAGCATAAAAGAAACAAATAGAAAAGAAAAAGAAAACAGATATTCCAAAATATTCTTGTGGAATTCTAGTGTAAAAAGAAAAATGAAGAAAATGTTACCTGTTGAGTATAGAAGAGGTGAATCTTTTTTTTCAGGGAGAAATAAACTTAAGGTAGTTATTATATTGCAATAGGTTAAGTATTCCAATAATTTAGATTATAAAAAATATATAAAAAAAATTTTTTTAACAAAAACAACATTTTACTGAATCATTGGAGCAACTTGTTGGTTTTTATTTTTTTCCCAAAATATTTTACAGTACAAATAATTATAGAAAAAGAAAATCTAAGTTTTGTACAAGACTGATTTATTCAAACCATTGTTTTCATTTGGTATGTTTATAGGGGAAGAATGTTCAATATCAGAGACAGATCATTTGTAGATATAAACCAGTAAGGATCAACACTGCATGGTAACTGTCAGTGTCATACTTTAATGCAATCTTCAGACCAAGTGTCACCATTCCTTTAGTGTACTGTATATATAGGTCACTGAAGGATTAAAGGAAGTTAAGTAAAGAGAAAACTGTCCCTTTCTGGTTCTTCTATTTAGGGTTTAGGTTTAGGTTTATTTATGGTTTATTATGGGCATGATTTTTGATTGCTTATTTATTTTGGTTGGGGTGTTGTAGGAAGTGTGTATGTAAATAGGTTAGGGTTATTCATGGTTAAGACCTTTAGATTGCTTATGTATGCTAGTTGGTTGATTGGTTGGAGGAAGTGTGTATGCAAAATAGGTTAGAGTTATTTATGACTATGCCATCTACATTGCTTATTTTTATATTTATTATTTATCATTTATATATTTATTTTATTTGTCTTAGATATCTTTTTCAAGTATTTTTCTTTGGGTCTAAGTTTTGGTATTTGTAGTAAAGTTTATTAGATTTAGGCTATTGGATTTATTTAGTCTTTTTGGTTACAGAGTGATTGTTGTAGGTAACACAGAAGGAAGTCATTTCCCTGCCTGCATTTGAAAATGAGCTCTGAAATTTTTTCTTAGGAGGTTATCTTGTTCTGGGAAAGTAAGTATCACAATTTTCTCCTCTGGGCAAAGGCTACATTGTTTCAAGGTGCTGTTGTAAGCTAGTTTTTTTTTCTTATTTTTCCATGTTATTTTTTTAAATGTTTCGGCCTGTATTTTTCAGAGGCATATATGCTTTGCTAGGGATATGCTTTTTGCATATTTTCTCTTGTTAAATGATGTTTCTGTGCACAGCATCTGTTTTCATGGACCTTTTGTATATATATATATATATATAGATAGAGAGAGAGAGAGAGAGATATGAGAATAACACAATATTCCTGAAAAGAGAGATGTGATAAACACAAAATATCATTGGTTGTGTTCACCAAAAAAAAGGAAAGAGCAAAGAAATAGTCAATTTAGCATTTAGTGTTGTTAAAAGTACAAAGTTTGAAATGCATGGGTATTTACATGACTATGAAATTGACTTTCACATGTGACAAAAATGGTATTACAATCCAAATGTATTTTAACACATGTCCACTTAGATTGAAATAACTTTTATTTACAATGGGTGGCCTTCTTTTTATATAAAGCACCTTAAAGATTTGTGTTTTTCTTTACAGCTAGATTTGCAGAGTGTAGTTGTAATCACAACCAAAACTTAACAGGAATTAGAAGGGGCACCAAGATTTGTGTTAAATATTTACATGTTGAGCTTTGCTCAGAGAGATGATAGGTCAATCGTCTCAAGAATAATAACATTCTATAACCAAGATATGTTGATTTCTTTTTATTAATAGAGACAATCTCCAAAAATACAAGAGAATTGTTATACAACATTGGTCTTTTGCAAAGTTGTTTTTTGTAGAGAAATGTATTTAGTAATCACAATGTTGATGCCTCACATATCCAAAGCAATATTTTGATGACCAAACATCAAAATACTGTTTCAAGAAAGTGGATCAGGTTTACAAATTTTTAGCAGTCTGCTGCCCATATATAAGGTACTATGTGGGAAAATGAAATAAAACCAATAAATAAATTAATAACTAAAATAAATTTGTTTTTCCCATGATGCAAGTTATAAAGAAAGCAGAAAGAGTTTCTGGTTACATACACGATTTTATGACTACTCTCCCAAGAAGGACAGAATCTTTCACTTTCCACTGAGATCATTCGGATGTGTTTTCAGTAGCCCTAATGAAGTAGAGATTCAGCCATCCCAACTAAGCATGAAGCTGACTTGAGGTCAACCATCATTATCCATACTTCCCATAAATTATTTCTGAACCAAAAAGGAAAATGGACACACTCAAGAGACATTTAACTTTGTTTCAATGCAGTCAACATAAAAGAAAGTTTTTTTTTTTTTATGCACCTTCACCTAAAAAATACACACAAAATCCACAACTTTGTTAACATCTGCAATTAGCTCAGTCTGATGAAGAAGCACATTGTCATAAAAAACAATGTTTCATTATATGGTCAGATTTTTGGACGTGTGCCAAACTGGTGGTCTCTCATATATAGATAGATAGATAGATAGATATAATTATTTAGTTAAAAATATGATTCCATCGCTACATAAGAGTTCTCATGTTTCAAAACAAGAGCCAAAAACTTCAATATAATTATTTGAATTAAATTGAATTAAAGTACCAAGATCTGTTCCATTTTCAAGCGAAATTTTTGGAATAACTAATTCTTGAAATTTACGCATTTTTATAAGCATATTCATTATTAAAATTAAAATTACTATGGTAACAGCTAGAGCAATTATTTAAAAAAAGGGGTGTAAGGGTTAATAATTTGTATCAATATCTCAGTTACATTCAAAGAGGTCAAGTCAGGGTAAGGTTGGGGTGTCTAGATTTAAAGCATAAGATGACATTGTCTAGTCTGGTTAAGTGTCTATGGAGATTTATTTATATTTTTATTTTATTTTCTTTCCTGAAAGAGTTTTGTGTATATAAAACTGTCATAATTAGCTACCATTTGTTTTTTAAATAATTGCTCTAGCCATTACCATAGTAATTTTAATTTTAATGAATATGCTTATAAAAACGCGTAAATTTCAAGAATTAGTTATTCCAAAAATTTCATTTGAAGATGGAACAGAGCTTGGTACTTTAATTTAATTTAACTCAAATAATTATATTGAAGTTTTTGGCTCTTGTTTTGAAACATGAGAACTCTTATGTAGCGATGGAATCATATTTTTAAATAAATAATTATATTTAGGCTCTACTTCTGTATCGAGCACTGTTTTTTTAAAAATAATAATAAAAATGCTAAAGAACTTTGGATTATTTACCTAACGAGTTCTTTCCTATTTTCTATATATTTTCACACACACATATATATATATATATTATCAGTATAAGTGCTCTATTTTAAATTCTCCTAAAAGGTCATTTTAATACAAATAAAAAATAATATTTTTCTTTTAGTTACCCATTTGTAGAGCTGCTTCATGCTTGGCAATCTTGAAACTTCTTTAAAAAAATTAAGATATCATTTTACTCTCACTATAATCAGCTGCTATCAAAGTTCTGATTTCTTACCTGGTGTAGACTGGTACTTCAGCTAGTACTCATATATGCAAATAATGTCAATAACAAATTTTTAACTGGCAACAAAGATTGTAAAATAGACTTTTCTTGTACATTTCTTGTTTCACGTTTGGCATAAAAAGTTAAGTTGATGAATTCAATTATATTTTTCTTCTTTTAGCAGACCAACTCCCCACAACCCAACACTGATAGATATTTCCGTAGTGCCATACATAATGATATAACAAACTATGGAAGATGAAATATGAAACTTTCTTTACCTACCTCCTGCCAAAGCAGATTTGATACCATTTTCAATGGCATTCAAATGGTTCCTTCTTATTGTTGCGAGGTTGTTCTCTTTTGTATGGACCAACTCTACATGGCGGAAATTCCGTTCTGAACTTTGCTCTACAGAAAGTCTCAGCATCACATAATGGTGCTGGTCACCAACTTTTGTGTCCAGTACTTCTGTAATGTCTGCTCTGTTGGCCAGAAAACATTTTTTAAAAGTTTATTAAAAAACATTTAAATATCTTTATTTAACAATTTTTATTCCTTATAACAGATATCTCCAAGTTCATATATAAAAGTTTGAACATTATATGTTGTCTCTGTATCTTCATTGCATATTTTATTACCTTTATGATCACATTTATTTCTAGAAACATTATATTTAGTGGGTATACGTGTTTGAGTTGAAATCCCTTTTTTTTTTAAATAGTGAAATTAATGACCACTGGTCTATGAATTGAAAGTCTTAAAATGTGCCCCCCCCCCATCACAACAGGAATCAAACCTGTATTTCCATTTTAATCTAGAAAACCACTTTCAAGTTAACCATGATTTACCATTAGGCTACAAGTAGCCATTACAGCAAAGCAAGACTCAATTAACCTACTTAAGAAATGTACATTTCTCATTGGGACATTTCAAAGTCTATGTTTACTCATACATATATGCCCATATAACATAGTAATAACGAATAAAATCAAATTAAAAAAATCTATTAATTGTTTAAAAAATTATGGCAAACATGGACCTTTGTGCTCAATAAAATGGTATATCAAAACAAGTTTTTCTCATGATGCTGCTTTTATTTCAACTACTTTCAGTCTTCAGCAATGTTTACTGTTTTAAAAAGCAATGTTTAGAATTGTATTGAAACTTAAACATTTTTCTTTGTTCTTGAGAATTAACAACAAAAATAATAAACACTATTTATTTATTAGTGTTTATTTACACTATTTATAATATTGTTTATTGGAATGGTTGGCAAAACAATTGATTCAAACTAAAATTATAAATAATAAGCATTTCCTTAAAGTTGGTTCACATATTTTAATAATTTAGTAAATGCTTATAAATTTATAGATAATTTTTTTTTCAAATTTATTTCTTTATAAATTAGTAAATGATAAATATTGCATTGTATTAGTTTTTAGACTATTATAAATACAAAATTATTCTTGTAAATAAACAATTTAATGAATAGTGTTTAATATTTTTGTAATTTCTCAAGAACAAAAAAAATGTATAAATTCATTTTCATCATTTTATTACAATTCTAATCATCACTAAATAGTTTTTTATGGGTAGAAATTCCATGTTTACCAAAATTATTTTGTTTATGCTTCAGGTACAGAATAAAGTTAGCAGATATAGTCTTTGAGAGAAGAAACTGTTAGCATAGAACTTATGGTTACATCTAGCCATTTTAACTGAAAAATGATGAGATTTTGCTGCCAGTCTAGCACTTCAATTGAATTCACAAGGTCTAGGTCTATATAGAGCAAAGTTCATCAGAACAATTACTATGAAAATATTTATAGAAAAGGCACAGGGAAGCTATGTTAGAGTGGTAAGAAAGTAATTGAAGCTGAGATGCCAGATTAGGACCAATAACATTGCAGATTCTTGTATTTCATTTACTTCAAATGTAAGTGTTTTGTTATTGTATTATAAATATTAAGTGTTTGGCTATAGTAATTTATAAAAAAACAAATAAAAGTAAATTTAATTCAAATATAAGTGTTTGGTTATTGTAATTCATCTGATATGATATGCCTGATATGTAATCTTTTTACAAGGTACAATTATATATTTATGGGTGTGCATTATACACAAGGAAAATTAGACATTATACATGAGGAAAAAAATTTTTTTTTTGTAATATTACTCATACATTATGAGAAAATGTTTTCACGTATATTGTTTGCTTTCCCAAAATCTTGTTTTTAAAAAGTAACTTGATTTACAATAACATAAATATACTGTCATATCTGTCAGTCTCAAGAGACTACAGATCTGCACATGGTGAGTTTTGATTCAGCTAATGATGGTGGTAGCACATGATCTGTTTTGACAATACAGACTCCAACACAGATGTGAGTGTTGGCTGCAATAATTACACTTGAAGATACTCTTCTCCAGTTTTGCCTTCTTGCTGTCTTTCTGTCGGTTTTGCTTTTCCTCAGTGGTAATCTTTAGTTTTTCTTCTTGTTCCAGTCCACGACCGTAATAATAAAGGGTGTTTCCAATAACTTGGACCGATTTTAAATGTGAATTGAGTTTAAGTGTCTAAAGATTTTTTTTCTTTTTCTTCCAGATTCAACAACTCAAGTCTTTGGTAATTACAACCATGGAAAGATTAACAATAAAAACATGTTAAAGTTATTGAAGCCTATTACGAAACTGGATGTTCAAACAGAAATGCATTTTGTGCACTTCCCAGGTCACATCATCTCTTGAAACAGTTAATTGGCAGCCACAATCATGCAACTTGACACCTTTAGATTTCTTCCTTTGGGGTTATCTCAAAAGTAAGGTCTATGCCAACAAGCCAACAACAATTCAACAGGTGAAGGATGAGATAATAAGGTATATTGGTGAGATCAAGGAGCAACTATGCAGAAACATCATCAAAAATTTTGACCATCGAGTGGAGGTGTGGCGGACATTTGGGCAATATCTTTCATGCATAATTGCTATGACTTAAATAACATGATCCAATAGAGAAATAAATAAATTTTCACCAATAACACTGATTTATTTACTGTTGACTTTGATCCGTCTTAATGAAACACCCTTTAGAAGTGTAGTTTATCTCCCTTGAATTTTCTTCTTTATGTGTTGTGTCCCCTCAGGATGTAGGCAATCATGGCTCTCCACAACTTTCTGTCCCTTGTAGCTCTTAATAAACTTTGTCTTTCTGTTATTTCTCTTAAGCCCTGTTCCACCATCCATTTACTCAAACTTCCTCTGTGCCTCTTGCCCTCTATCTATACCATGAGTATTGGAATTTTCAAGACCCCCTTACGCATTATATGCCTCAGAAACCTCACTCACTCTTCCTGATGTTAAGTGTTTGTTTCCTCTTTGTTTTCATTTTCTCCAAAACTCGTTACTCACATGTTTGGTTCAGAGTATATTTAGCATCTTTCTGTAGAACCATATTTCTATTGGTACAAGTCTCTTCTTCATCTTTGAGATCGTTTAGCACTCACTGACATACAGGAAGACAGATATCATGTAGCAGTTTAGTGCTCTTTTCCTTGTTTCTAGCAAATTTTTCCTATTTTTTAGTACTCTTAGATTTTGGAATGCTTCCTGGGTTATTGGATCTTAGTATTGCTCTTTCCATCCCCTGTTAAAACACTTCCCAGGTATTTAAATTTTCACATTTTTTTTGTTTTTGATATCTCTGATTTGCAATTCACACTTTGGGCTGTCCCTTTTGCTAACAACCATACATTCTGTCTTCTTGCAATTGATGTTTAATCCTTTCTTCTTACTTTCCTTCACTACCTTCTGTAAGAGTCTTTGTAGCTTTGTAGCTTTCTTTCTGTATCTACAGTGGCCTAAGAAAAGTTTTTAGCCAGGAGAAATAAACTACATCCAATTTCAAAATTTAATTACATAATCCCAACTCAACATAAATAAACAGTATTTGGGACAAGTACGGAGTAGGTCCTCCATTTGCTAGTTTCAGTGCTTGTATTCAATTTTTCATGGATTTGATCAAGTTATCAACAATCGTCTGTTCCATATTTTGCCACTCCTTTAGCAATGTTTCTTTAAGGCAGGGGTCGGCAACTGATTCGACTCTGCGGGCCAGATTGTGTTATAATGACGGGTCACGGGCTGGACGAAGGCCATTAATGAAAAATTAAGGAAAATTACATATGCAGACCCCTGTCAACCTAAATATTTAAAACCATAATGAAAATAAACATTGAGAAATCAGAAAAACAAAAGAAAATCTAAAATTAAAAAACACCTAACAAAAATTACTTTTCCTCAAGGAATGTCAAAATACTTCAAAGTGAAAAAAATCAACCGAAGTGAAATGGATGAAATTATGACTGTTATTGAAAATTGTTTCACAAATGAACCACACACACACATCAAACAAAACCAAAGCACATATACCCATACATACGAGTACAAATAGTTGCAAACATATATGTACGTACACATGTGGTATCATCCATACATTCATGAGGTATGTATGTGTAATGCGCGTATGTTTAATTGTCTTTAGATTTCTGCTACTTCACATTTCAGCCCCTCCCTGGCCTCTTTCACTTTATTGTTCCTTTCGCTTCTGCTATCTTTTAATGTAGCCAAGGGTCGTAAGAAATATGTATCCATTAAATGTAGGCAACGCAACTTGGTAAAATAAGTTTCATGAAAGATAACTGGCAGTCTAATTCAAAAGCCTCGTCTCTCATGTTAAAAATAGAGGCATTGGTAATCAGGCTCACAAGCCGGTCAAAACGCCTTCACGAGCCGGATCTGGCCTGCAGGCCATAGGCTGCTGACCCTTGCTTTAAAGGTTGCCACTGATGTGATTTTGGTTGCATGCTCTTGAAGTTTTTGGTCAAGGTGCTCCCAAATGTGCTCTATTGAATTCATGTCAGGACTTTGGGCTACCCATGGCAGTGACTTGATTCCTTGCGATTCCTTCCAGACCTTTGCTACTTTGCTTGTATGACATGGTACTCCATCTTATTGAAAAAGGTAGACACTCTTATAAATCTGATTGGTTTCAGATAGTGGCAGTAGTCCTTTCTCTGATATTTGACAGTATTTTGGACCAATCAATCACTCGTCAACAAGAATCATCTCAGATTTACCTCCATACCAGACAGCCCCCCCACACCATTACTCCAATCCCTCCATGTTTCACGGTCGCCTGCAGACATTCAGTGTTCCAAGTTTCATTCTGATATCTCTAAACATAAACCTGTCTCGAATTCGAATATTGGCAGAATTTTTTTTCATCTGACCAAATTACAGACTGCAAAAATTCATAATTTTTGCTCTCGAATTCTCTCACCCAATCCATATGTCTGTTCCTGTAAACCTCTGAAATCAAGGGCTTCTTTCTTGCAACTCTTATTTGATAGCCTAGCTCTTTCAGAGTCTTTCTCACTGCATATGGCGACATTTCCATGCTGTTGGCGACGTCTATAACGCTCTGACGACAGTTTCTGATGACTTCCCTCTTCAGCGACCTTTTTATTCACTCAGACACGATGCTTGGTCTTCCTGAACATTGTTCCACACAACAATGGCTTTCTTCATTAAATGTCTTGACAATATTATTAACCGTTTGATGATTAACCAGGAAAACCTAGCAATTTCTCTATTTGACTTGCCACACTGATGCCATCCAATTATTTGCCCTCATTGAAATTCACCAATTTCTTTACTTCTGCAAACTTTCATTGCAAAATATAAGTCAGCTATCATTCATAGATGAGAGTAGTTTGATACTAACACAGTATTGTCTGAAAGAAAAGAAGAGACGTTATTACACAAGCCAAAATTGCTGTAATCAAGGGTAGCTAAAAACTTATCATAGGCCCACTGTACTATCAACACTGTGTCATCTGCAGATCTTATGTTGTTAAGATTGTGGCCACCAATAATGAATCCTGGTAAGACTTCTAGTTCTCTCAGAATCACCTTGCTGTATAGATTGAATAAGTCTGGTGAGAAGACACATCCTTGTCTTACATTCTTTTCTATTTTTGTATATCTGCTGAACTCATTTTCTATCTGCATGCAGGCTGTATAGGTTCTTGATTATTCTAATATCTTTCCCAAATAGATCACGGTTACTGAGCAGTTCCAACAGATCTTTGTGGTATACTTTATTGAAAACCTTGAATCTTACCAGATCAAATACAGCCACACCTCAATTAACATCCAGACTTACAACTAGTAATAAAATCTCATTGATTGATTTATTTTTATGGATTATCAACCTTTTGCAAGTTATTTTTGCAAGCCAAAAAACATTTTTAGATTGTAAGAATGTTTTGGAGATAATAATCATTTACTGATACAAGTCCTATTAATTAATCCATAGTTGGGGGTTGAAGAGGTGCATTCACATCTATCTCAAAAGTATTTGCATGTAAGTGAATATAATGAACCCAACTGAAATTGAATTGGAGATAATGATTTACTGATACAAGTCCGACTAATTAACCTATAGTTGAGGGGTAAAGAGGTGGATTCATATCTTTCCCAAGGGTATTTGCACGTTAATTTAATGAACCTAACTTGAATTGGAACTTAACCCTCTGATTTCCAATTTTGAGCTGTTATCCATTACATCAACTGCACATCCAAACTTAGAGCACCTGTTATTCCCATGCAGTCACCCATCTAGGTACTGACCAGATGACATTGCTTAACTTTGGTGATTGTAAGCCAATAAAATCTCATAAAATAAAAAAAAATTCAATCAGTGACTATTGTATGTTGCATGAAAAGATTGTTATTGTTTTCTCTTTCTTTAGAATGAAGCAATGTTTTTTGATTGATTTGTTTTTTATGACTTATCAACTCTTTGTTGGTTATTTAAAGCGGAAACAGCTCATTTAGTGTTGTGGAGTAAATAAGACACCCCAAGTAACACAAATGAACTAGGTAAAATGCCTTAAATAAAGAACTAAAAGTGAGTCAAGGGAAATCTGTTGGAGTCAGTCAAGGAGAATTTCTAATAATGTCACTGGGATTAGCCTAAGCAAGGCATAATATTATAGCTGCTAGGCATGAGTTATAACATTTTGTAATCAGGTCATTGGAATGGAAACCAGTTGTTAAGTGAAGAGTGGCTGTATTTCATATTGGATTAGGTTATGTTTAAAGAGTATAACTAACTTGATTTATCTGTTACGAGATATTAAACTTGTCAAATAAAACAATCTTACTCTTTTTTGACAGTTTCTTTGTAGGCAACTTGGAGTGGTCCCAAATGTGCATCAATTCCATACTCTGTGAGAATTCGATTCTGCACAATTTCCAAATGTAATTCACCCATTCCACAGAGGATAGTCTGTCCAGTGTCTGGGTTGAGTTTTGCAGAAAGGCTTGGATCTTCTCGCTGTAAACATTCCAATGCATAGTCAAGGTCTTTCTGTGATGATATAGATGGAGCCTCAACTGAGCAAAAGAATACAGGGGATGGAATTTCCAGGCCAGCCAAAACCGGAGTGTCCAAGGATTCTGTATCATCTGTTAACAATTCAGCACTTGTAGATTTATTATTTTTGTGTGCTCTCTGAGCACTCTGGGCTGCACTGGCTGATGAAACCAGGGTGTCACCTGTGATAGTCTGTAAAAGGAAAATGAAACAGTTACATGTTAAGAAAATATAAAATAAAATACTTATAGTAGTAGTTTAATTTAAATATGTGAATAGTGGAGACTATCAATTGTCTCCCTTAGACAAGAACAAGATAAATTTCCCATTTTCAGTTTGTGTGACTACACACTTGAATATCAACCACTATGACTTGACAGCAATTGTGACACAGTGGAACCTGGCCATGATTGTATTCCTCAGTGGTCACCCATTTAGGTACTAACCAAGCTTGACATTGCTTAACTGAGTGTACAGGAACAACGTGATGTGGCTGTAAGCTGTTATGACAAAGGAGGTGTTATATGAATGAAAAAGAAGGTTGCAGGAAGTGAAGAGTATGAGGATAAGGAGAATAGATAATGATTGATCATTGACTTGCAGACTATGATTGTAGTATTCAAGGAAGCATCCATGCAGGAGTTTGTTCTACAATGTAGTAGTATTGGAAAAAAGCTGAGTGAAACTTTTTCCTTAGTTTCAGAATATAGAGGATATGAGGGTGTTTTCACTCCATAGAATTTTCATGGCATGTCCTAGCTATAAAAGTCTGTAAGGTTGTGAAAGGGCAAGATGAATTCATGAGGGTCATGTGATGGCCAGTGAGCTTTTGAGGTGATGTATGTAGACAGCTAGAGCGATTGCCCACAACAGTAGGGCAAACAGAGGAACCCACATGACCGCACCAAGAACATAGAGGTCACTGCCAGCCTGGCAGTTTTTCCTTCAAGAAATATGACAAGTAAGACCCTCTTGCTTTTTGCACTTTCACACTGCTTGTTGTATTCATATGTTATATTTTCTGTGTAGGATAGATAGTGATAAATATAAATATAATTTCTTGTAGGACGTAGCTGTATAAAAACCTCTTTGAGAACAATGCAGGTTTGGCATTCCCTTCTTTCAGCTATCCTTCTTTCCATTATATTAAGGTGTTAGCATATCATGGATATATTAATTCCTATCCTGGGGCAAGTGGAAATATTCTCTCTTTCCTAGCATCCCCATCAGGTTTTGTCATACTACTTTAATCAAGATTTCTTTCTGATTCACAAATACATTTTACTAGACATGTCAGCTGCATGTCAGCACTAAGAAAGCAAAACCCAAAATAAAAAGATTGTCTTCTGTGCACAGGGTCTGAGTATCACATCCAGTTCACAAAACAAATCCTCACAAAAATCTGAAAACAACTTGGTCAACCAACCCAACAAATCGGTCAACTCCCAGTCTTACACCTAATTCATTCCATTACCAACAGCTACTAAAGACCCATATCTCAATAACTTTGTCACCTTTTCACACAACTATATATATATTCTGAAATGGATCAATACATGCTGCTGAAATTTTAATCCTTTTTTGTTCTTTCTTTTGCAACCATATACTTATTATAACAATTTGAACTGACAGAATCAAAAAATTTTGTAATAAGAAATAATACTATTCTATTGTCTGTTTACCGTATTCATGCTAGCTTAAGTAGAAATAAATGCAAAAAAAAGTGTACCTCTTTGAATCCTGAAACACAGACAATATTTCCGGAAGAAGCCTGTGAGATATCTTGGAATTCATCAGCATCAACTTGCAAGAGTCTGTTGACTTTTTCAGTTTTCTTTTGGTTCACATTGTAGATGTTGGTACCACTCTTCACTTCCCCATTGTAGATCCGCAGAAAGGTCAGCATTCCTCTTTGCTTATCATGAATAATCTTAAAGGCAAGACAAACAAGGCTATTTTTGTAGAAGTCAACAAAATCATGTTTTACATCAAGTGGACTTGGCAAGTACAAAGTTATAGCATCAAGAAGATGTTGTACACCTTTGTTTTTCAAAGAGCTTCCACATATAACAGCTACAGCTTTCTTCAACAATGTCACCCTTCGGATGGCAGAATGGATTTCACATGACGGTATCTCTTCTAGAGTATCTTTGCTTAATACATATTCAGCAATTTTTTCATCAAGATCTGACAGTTGACCAATAAGCTGAGTTCTTTGTGTAAGTGCATCATTCAAAAGTTCACTATCGGTCTGGTCAACTGGTTGGATGTTATATTCCCTGCCATCTGTGGATGTTTCAGAAGACCAATGCCATTTTTGCATATATATCAAGTCAATAAGTCCTTCAAGTCTGCCGTTATTTTTAATAGGTAAGGAGAGAAGCAGGGGTTCGGTGTTAAGTTTTTCCCTGACTGATTTTAGGGAAAGTTCCACATTTGCATTTGGCTTATCCAATTTGTTGAGAAAAATTAAGCGAGGAATAGAATAACGTTCAGCTTGGCGCCACACGGTTAAGGTTTGTGCTTCTACGCCTGGTCAAAAAAAAAAAATGTTTAGAAAAATTTTGAATAATCTTAATACTGAATAAAAAATTATCTTCAATCAACAAATTTTATAAATCTCTCTCTCCCCACTTTCTCATATAGACAAATACAGACATAGTGACCACAGATATTTTTACATTTGCTTTGCCAAAATATTGTGGCGTATCTCAAAAAATTAGAATATTATGGTATGTTCATTTTTCCATATCTTAATTTAAAATTTATATTGTATATACTTTAAAAGACTATATTTGTTATTCATGCATTTCCACTTTCTGAAGGGACATGACACATAGGAAAAAAAGATTAACACAGACTGTTTCTCACAGAATTGATGTTTTATCCCCATGATAGCATATTGCTCAGATTTGAACTTATATTTTAATTTTAAGCACCTTTAGAAGCAATCCAAAGATTTTTGTTGCAGAAAGTGCAAAATGAAAGACTGAAATATTCTTGGAAAAGTCAAAGGAAAAAAAAAGATTTAATTTGGATTTAATTAATCTAAAAGTTAAAAAAATAAATAAAGTAGCAAAGACCTTTAATAATTAATTTGTGTATTTTGAAATGGTTTCCATTTTTTAAAAAATTATTTTCAACATCCTATTATAATATTGCTTCTCCCTTCCTTCATTAGTGTGCACGGCCATTATGCCCTGCCAATGCCTCATAAGGTACTATTCCGTTTTGATCGAGTGGAAAGAGGAGAAAAAAAATACTTAGTTTCAGTGAGAAAATGAAAGAAAGAAAAAAAATGAAGAAAGAAGAGTTTAATATTTCCTTACAATACCTCGTAAATAATGGACTATTTCGTCTTGATCGTGTGGAAAAACAAAATATATATCAGAGACGCTACTTGGATAAAGTGAGAAAATGAAAGCAAGAAGGGAAGATAGAAGTGTTTAATGGCTGTTTCAGTGAAGTTTGAATTTCTGGGATCAGGAGTTAACATTATTTACACTACTTACATACATACTATTGTCCTCATCTTTGTTGTTATTACCACAATGTTTCAGCCTTTGTGCCCTCTGAAACAATAACCTAGTGGAGTAAAGTTTTGCTTTGTGAATTTGGTAACATAGTGATTGTGAGTTCAATCCATGGGTCAGGCAGTGTATACTTGGACTCAGTGGAAACAGGGCAAGCAGTACTAAAAATAAGAACTAGATGAGATATCCCTAGACATGGGCTGTGAAACGAGAATTAAATAAAGATTAATTAAAGTGTTCAGTTCAGAATTAAATAAAGTGTTCAGTTCAGAATTACCTTGATCAACATACACCTGATGAAAGCTGGATATCTCAACAGTTGAAACGTTGTAATAACAACAACAAAGATGAGGATAGGCTTCAACCATCAAGGCTCAATACAAACTGTCTCAGGTGAATCAATAAAGTCTGTTGAATCTTTTACATACCTGGGAAGGGAAATAAATTCTACTGAAAAGGATGTGAAAAGTCGCATAGCTAAAGCCTGGGTCAACTTTAATAAAATAGACATAATCTGGAAATCTGATCTATCAGATAACCTCAAGCAGAGATTCTTTCAAGCCGCTGTGGAGGTGGTGTCCATTACCTGGACAATATAAACCACAAGAGTCTAAGCTTGATGGAACCTACACTTGGATGCTGAGAGCTATATACTTAACATCTCTTGGAGACAACATCCAAATAATCACAGCACAATGAACCCATCCCTGATACTTCTACAATCTTACATGAATGCAGAATGTGCTTTGCAGTATACTGCTGGCGAGTTAAACAAGAACTTACAAGTAATCTACAGCTCTTGACTCTAGCCATTGAGCAAGACAGGTTGGTCACCCAGCAACCACCTACATCGAACAGCTACATTATGACACAAAGCCACCCTAATGACCTTGATGCAAGACTAATGGTTGGTGTGATAGACTCATGAATGTCTTGACTGAATAAAATAATAGTATAAATAATCTTTATAATTTACTTAGTTATATGAAATACATGGCAGATAAATTAGACAACAGTAAAAATAGGTCATTTACTTGTTATTTTAACCCTTTGAGCCCTAACCACTGCTTTGCCGGTGGTAGAGAAAAATGACATAATGCCCAGTTATCGGTTGAATGGTGGGTAAACACTTGTAACTATTTTTATATCTACCGTGAAACATTCAGTCAGTTATGTACCATGCATGAAATATGCTTAGGTGATCTTTCGATACATGACTGACGAGGTAGATTTTTTCCTGCAGTTGGTTGTCATTTCTTTCTGTAGTAGACCAGTTGCCATCCAAGGCTATAGAACCTGTTTTGTCCTGTTATTTACCCATAGCTGGGAGGAGAAGAAGAAGATTCATACTTTTCCCAAGGGTATTAGCATATAAGTGAATTTCAGTCAGTTATGTGCCATGCATGATACACGCTTAGGCGATCGTATATCTTTTGATACATAACTGATGAGGTAGATTTTTTCCCACAGTAGGTTACCATTTCTTTTTACGATAGACCAGCTATAGAATTTGGTCTGTCCTGCTATTTACCCATAGCTGGTGGGCAAGAAGAAGATTCATACCTTTCCCAAAGGTATTAGCATGTAAGCGAATATTAGTTATGTGACATGCATGATACACGCTTAGGCGATCGTATATCTTTTGATACATAACTGATGAGGTAGATTTTTTCCCACAGTAGGTTACCATTTCTTTTTACGATAGACCAGCTATAGAATTTGGTCTGTCCTGCTATTTACCCATAGCTGGTGGGCAAAGAAGAAGATTCATACTTTTCCCAAAGGTATTAGCATGTAAGCGAATATTAGTTATGTGACATGCATGATACACGCTTAGGCGATCGTATATCTTTTGATACATAACTGATGAGGTAGATTTTTTCCCCCACAGTAGGTTACCATTTCTTTTTACGATAGACCAGCTATAGAATTTGGTCTGTCCTGCTATTTACCCATAGCTGGTGGGCAAAGAAGAAGATTCATACTTTTCCCAAAGGTATTAGCATGTAAGCGAATATTAGTTATGTGACATGCATGATACACGCTTAGGCGATCGTATATCTTTTGATACATAACTGATGAGGTAGATTTTTTCCCACAGTAGGTTACCATTTCTTTTTACGATAGACCAGCTATAGAATTTGGTCTGTCCTGCTATTTACCCATAGCTGGTGGGCAAAGAAGAAGATTCATACCTTTCCCAAAGGTATTAGCATGTAAGCGAATATTAGTTATGTGACATGCATGATACACGCTTAGGCGATCGTATATCTTTGATACATAACTGATGAGGTAGATTTTTTCCCACAGTAGGTTACCATTTCTTTTTTACGATAGACCAGCTATAGAATTTGGTCTGTCCTGCTATTTACCCATAGCTGGTGGGCAAGAAGAAGATTCATACCTTTCCCAAAGGTATTAGCATGTAAGCGAATATTAGTTATGTGACATGCATGATACACGCTTAGGCGATCGTATATCTTTTGATACATAACTGATGAGGTAGATTTTTTCCCACATAGGTTACCATTTCTTTTTACGATAGACCAGCTATAGAATTTGGTCTGTCCTGCTATTTACCCATAGCTGGTGGGCAAAGAAGAAGATTCATACCTTTCCCAAAGGTATTAGCATGTAAGTGAATATTAGTTATGTGACATGCATGATACACGCTAGGCGATCGTATATCTTGATACATAACTGATGAGGTAGATTTTTCCCACAGTAGGTTACCATTTCTTTTTACGATAGACCAGCTATAGAATTTGGTCTGTCCTGCTATTTACCCATAGCTGGTGGGCAAAGAAGAAGATTCATACTTTTCCCAAAGGTATTAGCATGTAAGCGAATATTAGTTATGTGACATGCATGATACACGCTTAGCGATCGATATATCTTTTGATACATAACTGATGAGGTAGATTTTTCCCACAGTAGGTTACCATTTCTTTTTACGATAGACCAGCTATAGAATTTGGTCTGTCCTGCTATTTACCCATAGCTGGTGGGCAAAGAAGAAGATTCATACTTTTCCCAAAGGTATTAGCATGTAAGCAAATATTAGTTATGTGACATGCATGATACACGCTTAGGCGATCGTGATATCTTTTGATACATAACTGATGAGGTAGATTTTTTCCCACAGTAGGTTACCATTTCTTTTTACGATAGACCAGCTATAGAATTTGGTCTGTCCTGCTATTTACCCATAGCTGGTGGGCAAAGAAGAAGATTCATACCTTTCCCAAAGGTATTAGCATGTAAGCGAATATTAGTTATGTGACATGCATGATACACGCTTAGGCGATTAGTATCTTTTCATACATGACTGATGAGGTAGATTTTGTTTTTTTTTTGCCCACAGTAGGTTAACATTTCTTTCTGCAATAGACCAGTTACCATCCAAGGCTATAAAACTTGGTCTGTCCTGCAATTTTCTCATAGCTGGGAGGAGAAGAAGATTCATATCTTTCCCAAAGGTTTTAGCACGTAAGTGAATGTAATGGATTTGAATGAAATTCAAACTTAGCTCTCTGATTCCTCAAACTGAGCCGCTGTCCATTACTCCACCATGCCTCCTCTACTGTAAAACATTACATACCAATTATTTGTGAATTTTGACTCAGGAGCTCAGGCAGAAGGGTTAAAATTGTTCAAGAATGCAGGGTTCAAATGGTTAAAGAATTAATGAGAAATCTTTCAATTTATTTAATAATTTATTATAGGGATAGATATAAGTATATAAAAATTTTTAAGAAAATAATTGTCATCACTAGATTAAAAAACTGCACACACAAAATATAAGGATCAATACCAGCTGATGCATCCAAGATGGCTACTGCTCCGTCAAGGACACGTAAAGCTCGTTCTACTTCCACAGTGAAGTCAACATGTCCTGAAAAAGTAATTTTTTTAAAGGAGAAATACAAATGATTGTATTATTACATAAAGTAGCAAACTGCAATGTTTTATGTCTGTTCTTATTAAAATCTGTATACAAAATTATTTTGCTTATATTTTTGTTTTGAATCTTCATATATTTTAGAAGAAAATCTGGAAAGTTCAAGTGACTTATCTAATTGACTGAGTCAAGAGTTTCACATTGAAACACCCTTCAAAAACAAAGAAATCATTTCTTGATTTATTGAACAGTATAGCTTTGGTTACATTTTCAGTGCTTTTTGGCAGAGGTTCTGCTAGCCTGAAAAATATGTTAAATTCTTGTAATTTTCATGTTTTTTTTTCAGTTGTATTATTATTGTTATTATTATTTCTTTTGATTTCTGTTGTATATTCATTTCCTTATGGGTCCCAACCAGAGACCTAAGGTCAGAAATAGCACCAAGATATTTTCCATTGAACATTTTTGTAAAAAAAATAAAAATAAAACAACCTAAGATCAAACATTGATAAAACCCTTCATAAGGTGTGAGCTGTAACTGTGAGAACAATTTTTTTGTATTTCTTTACCACATAGGCTACTAGGAGTCCCATCAATGTGTCTATTAGAGCCTTTTCCAATCAAACCAAGGGTTCCAACCACAACCTGAATTATTGATATCCTAAACTATTTTTTATCCAAAGCCGTATGTCATTATTATTATTATTATCGTTATTATCATTAGAGATCATATAATTATACAGTTGGATTATAAAATATAAAATATTTAAATCTTAATCTTATCTTAATTTCAAACAAGACCGTTTATGTCAGAATTAAAATTTAGCAATGAATAATAGAATGTATTTCTTATAATAAACCACGTACCTGGAGTATCAATCAAATTGATTTTATGCTTCTTCCAATAACAGGTGATAGCAGCCGAAGTGATGGTAATACCTCTGTCACGTTCTTGTTCCATATAATCAGTCACTGTACTTCCATCATCCACATTCCCTATCGGCACAAACAAAAATTGTCACTTAATGTTAATTTTTGTCAAAAATCAGAAGTAATTATATTTGATGAATGTGTTTTACAATTCCAAGGAAAAAAATGACTACAGCAACTTGCAAGCATTGATGATTCTACCAATCAATCTAAAAGTGGTGAAAAAGAAAATGCTTAAAAATATTTTTTGGATAGCAATTAATGAATCAGCATGTATTTTTCTCTTTATATTATGATCCATGTTTTTTTTTTTTCATAAACACAGGCAAAAATTGAAATAAAAAAAAATTCATATTCACTACTGATTTTTTAACACCCATAATTCCAAAGGCTTATAGATAAACAATTTTGTGTAACAACTGCTTCTTTGTGGAACAGACTCCCAAGTGGAAGTTTACCTGAATGCTACAATCTTAACCTCTTCAATCAAGGTTCAATTGTTACCTATCCAACCTATCCTCATAATCTTTACTTCCTACTTTTACATTCATATCGCACACATCGTTCAGTAAAACCTCTACCTTCAGTGGCTCTTTTACTGGATGAAAATCAGTTTAAAAAAAATCTTTCTCAAAAAAACAAAAAAAAAAAAAAAAGCCTGAAATTCAAAGGAATCCTAAGTATTATTTCAATAATGTCTGGTCTAAAAAGATTTCTAGATTGTCAGTTATCAGAATATTCATGTGCTCTTTTTTGTATTCTTCTCTTAAATTCCAAAAAATTAACATTAATGGTTTGGTTTGGTTTGGTTTGTTTTATGGCATATCAACCACAATGGGTGATTAGATGACAACAAAATTTTTAGTGTTGGTAATTTTTTTTTTCAAACATGTATTGCTAGTAATATTTTTCCTTCAAAAAAATCTATTTCTAGTAATATTTCTTTCCAAAAATGTATAGCTGGTAATATTTTTTTTCAAAAAGTATTGCTGGAAATAAATTTTCTTCAAAAGATTTATTACTGGTAACAATATTTTTTACAAAGTATTTCTGATATTAAGACCTATTTTTACACTTTCATGGTGTTTTGACCTCAGTTTGGGGGTTAACTATTTACCCATAGCCGGGACCCTAACAGGTGCTACCACCCCATTTCAAAATGGACCTGGGGAACATCAACAATTAAGAGGTGGTTCCATGCTCCTCAAAATCTCCTGATCAGAGGCCTTGCTGTTGGACATAGTTTATTGTCTTACCCATTATGGAACATTGAAGGTTTTCCAGTTGATGTTGTAAGCTAATTGAATAATAAATTAAATCAATCTTGTTAAGTCCTTTTTGCACAACTGCAAGTAGAACAACCAGATAAAAAACTAATTCATAAGTGTGATTGTGCTTATATGAATTTCTGATTTTATTATTTTATTTTTACAAGATGAAGATATCCTCTTTTCATGAAAATGTCAAAACTTATAAATTAAGTTTATTGTAGAGTCCTGGGTATGATGATAAACAACATCCAGCAGCAAAGCATCTGATTGGGAGATTGGAGGTTTTGAGGAGCATGGAACAACCTCAACAATTCCTGTTGTTCCCAGGTCCACCCTGACTTGGTGTGGTAGCATCTGTTATGGTCCCAGCAAAGGCAAACAGTGAACTGCAAAACAAAAACAAAACACTATGAAAGTATTAAAATACATTTTTATAGTAAAAATACAAGCAGTACTTTTTCATATAAAAAAAATGACCATCAGTACATAGTTATAGTAAAATGACCAGCAATATATTTTATAGTATAATTACCAACAATACATTTTACCTGTAAATGAAGACATACAATTGCGCTCGAAATATATTTAGTTGAAATTATAAAACTGTGTTTAAAATATTTAGATATCGTATGCCACTAAATAAAATCAACTTTATTGTAAGGGAGATAACTCAATATTTTTTCACTTAATGTTAAAAGAGAATGCCTGTGTTATCATGCATTGCAAAAGTAAACAATCCCAGAAGAGAGGTAATCTTTTTATTATTATATTTGCTTTCCGTACTAATTGAATTAATTACAAATGTATTTTGGTTGGTATATATCACCTAACAGCAACTTAATGAAAATTGAATATAACGACAACGTTAAATTTCATATCAGACTGTTTATCAATGACACTGACAATCAAAAGATCATTTTTTTTAAAAAGTCTTTTTTGCCTGATTTAAAGAAAAAAAATGAAAGAAATGCAAGTAAAACAGGCTATTTATATTTTGATATGAATATAAAAATAATGAAGGAAATTATTTTCGTTATAAGTTTTTGAATATTCCCGCCATTTCCGACAATTAAACATACTTTTTGGTTAAATATTATACAGGCATAGTTAGATTATATATACAATTCAAAGATCTTCCTTTTGATGACCGCAGAAAATTCTGATATACTGAAATAAAATATACTGAAAATAAAATTTTTTATTAGAATAGAAAATTCTCTAAGAAAAATTCTATGAGCTCTTATCAATTAATTACACTTATTCCATATCCTTTAAAAACCATTTAAATCAAATGTAATACAATTTTTTTCACTCTTTGGAAGCCGCTCTGATGCCAGTAGTTCATGTATTGTAAGGGTTAAAACTTCTATTTTTTAAATGCTCATCTATAGTTTGGTAATAGACTTTTGAAGTGACACTTACCAAAAAACTAAAAAGTAATAATAATAAACTTTTAAATAACCTAAACACCTACATAATACTAAAAGTCGATTTTGTAATCACTAAGTAGGAAAAACTGTGCATTATAGCCAGAGGTATTATTAAGAAATTCTTAAAATGTGCTAACGTAAAAAAACTAAAAGAATACTAAAAATTTCTTGTGATCTAAACAGAGATTATGCAAATTTTAATAAAAAACAAGGGAGATAACTATTAATTGCAGCCAGATTTATTGAAATAAGGTACCCCTAAAAAATGCGTTAACTTAACGAATAATAATTAAAAAATAAATAAAATAAAATAAAATCCGAGGATTTGCAACGTCATAATGTTGGCATTTACCCACAACCCAACCTATGGCGTTAGGTCTTCTTTGTAAAGGGAGGTAACTATTAAATATATTTTTTCGTAATGGAATACACGGCAATATGTTTGAGAAAAAAATTTCAAAATCAAATTGTAGTACTATATTCTATCTGTGTTCTGCAACAGTTACATTTTGTGCATAAAATATGCAAATGTAACAACTATTATGGGATGGAGTTAGTACAAATTATGGAAATCCATGAAAATTACAGATTAAATGCTGCTTTCTGAGTTAAAATTTCTTCCAACCGAAATTTGATTTTCAAGTCACTTATTCAATAAAAGCGGTTGAATTTCGAAAATAAGCTCAGCAAAAACAAAATTTGAAAAAAGAAAATACAAGATATTTTTTTAGCTCATTATTGCAAATTTCATGTATCTTTTGACAAGATCATATTGTAGTTTCTTAATATGAAAAAGTTACCACATTTCAACATCATATTCTGAGAGCCCAAAACATTGTTTTTATTTTTTATTTTCTCTCTCTTCTGTATAAAAATATCCTTTCAATTATAATATATATTTTTATAGAAAATGTATGAATTTTAATTTGACTGCACCTTCCCACTGTTTCAATTTTCTATGAAAATGGATCAAATACAAAAAAAAAAGAAAGAAAAATAAGGTCTTTCATATTAATATTTCTTGTTTGTTTTTGCTTAACAAACATCTGTTGTTCTACCCAACCTGTGTCACAAATGTCTGTCATATATAATAATCTCCCGGAAATGCTGAATAGAATTCTTTGTTCCTCTTGTTCTAATTCCTATACAGGCCACATCTGGTGCCCCTTTAAAAGAACTTCAGAATCCTTAACTTTCAATCATTCTATATAATGTTGATAAATCACTGACCCAGGCAGTGAAGAAATATTTGACACAAATCAAACGCAAGATGGACTTTACCATAGCTTTAAGGATGTGCAGGTGGTGTAATGAATAATGGCTTAGAATGAGGAATTGAAGAGCTGAGTTTGAATTCCAGTTGGGTTTGTTATATTCACATGCATAAATACCCTTCGGAAATGTAAAAATCCATCGCCTTCTCCTAGCTAAGGATTAAATAGTAGAAATTGCATACGAAAATGTTATTCTAAAAAATAAAAATTGTTAATGCAATATTCACTTTCAACAAAAGTTAGATTGATTTGTTTTTTATAGTTGATCAATTTTTTGTAGGTTATTTAAAGCCGGAATATATTTTTAGATTGTAATAATTTCTTTGGAGATAATAATGCAGAGTTCTATTAATTAATCCATAGCTTTGGGGAGAAGAGGTGCATTCATAGACAAAATTTATTAAGAGCAACAAAGGACAGGAAATTGTGGAGAAGCCATGATCACCTACATTCTGAATTTGTTAGATTTAAATTATTTTAGAAAAATAAACACTCTAGTGTTGATAAGAAGCAATAGTTACAATGTTTTAAAATTTAAATCTAATCTATTCATATGTTTAAAATTATACTATGCTCTATTTTAATATTGTAGAAAAGGTGCCAAAGGATTTTAGCAATATTTTTTGGAAATAAACAAACAAAATGAAAGATATAAACAATATCTATTTATTTGATTTCAATTGGAGTAAATTCTTTGTAATTCAGGCTAGTGAAAGTCCATTCAGCAGAGTATTTGATAGTTGATAGTCAGACTTTAGTAGTAGTCATCATTTTTTTTGGCTGCTGTCAGAGGTTTGATCACTTTGGAAATAGGTGTGGCATAAATCTGCTTGTATTCTGGGTTTTCAGAAGAGCAGAAAATGTCATAAGTAGATGACTGCTTAGTTTCTTCATACTACATGCTTGGTTGGTTTCTCTGGCAGTCCTTTCTCTCTTGCTGGCCTGTCAGCTGTCTGTTTATATCCATTTAAGAAAGGCTCAAGGCTACTGGCACAAAGCTTTGTTTTTGGCTAACACTAAAAGTCTCTCTGTTTTTTTGTTTTTTTATTGGCTAAAATGCTTTTATTTTCTATCATTCATTTTTTTTTCATTTTCTTTTTTATAGTGAAATTTATGCATGGAGCCTCTTATTTTGGTAGATTTCTAGTCATAATGACTAGACCCATGGACAAGCAAACTTCCATCGTTTTATAGCCAGAGTCAGTCTTTTCTTCTTCCTTTTTTTTTATTTGAGGATTGCATTCTCATTATATAGAGAGAAAATGATATGGATTATAAATAAAAGCAAATGCCCTTTAATTTGAATTCTTTTTTATTTTGTTTATATATTTTATTTTCATATTGTTTTTTAATCTGGGCTTACCATCTGCTATAAAAATTATTCTCACTAATTTTAAACAAGTTTACCGGTACAGTGTGTATAAACTGTAATTTTTACTACATACTAGATTTACAAATTACTCTAGTCACAATCAAATTCCAAAAAACAAAAACTTTTTTTAGCCTAAAGGAAAACCCGGAATCTCTCATATAGACAGCTCCCTGCCTCATTATATTCAGGAGTTAAGATCAAGGGTACGTCCTTATTTACAGTAAAGAAGACCAGAGAAAATCCAAAAATCTTTTATTAAACATACGTTAAAAAAATAGTTATTTTGCATTTTCGTAGGTCATCAAATTAATATTTTCTTAAAACTTGCCTAATTTAATCATAATGATATATTGTACCAATTAGGTGTTCAATAAATATAGTTTTTTTTTTTTTAACCGTAAGTTCTATTCTAATAATTTCTTCTTCCGCACTTCTCGGTTGTAGAACTCACTTCCTGTTTTTTACTTTCCTGTCAACTATAATCTCAAAAAAATAAAAAAAAAAAAAAATGCAATGTCAATTATTATTTTTTTTTGTCTCCTTGAATCCTGTTCTTTTTATCGTCCTTTCTGCTCGATAACGTATTTCCTCGTTTTTTTTTTCACTCTCAGTAACCCCTTTCTTCTTAGTGGCTTTATAAAGTAAAGTTTATATAGCCTTTCTTGGAGTTAAAATATTTTTTAAAAATCCCTTTTAGAGCATCCTTTAAATTGGAATGAAAAAAGGTGAACCCAAAAAGGTTTTTATAGGTGAGGCTTTGAACAAAGAGTAAAACGACATCTTTGTTACAAAAAAAAAAAAAAAACAAGTTTTCTCAGCTTCGTAACTAGTTTGCATTATGTGGTTGATGCAGTTCATTCCTGCAAAAATTCTAAAAAATCAGCATATGGATTAAAAGAAAGGAAGAAGATTATCCATAACTTATCAACGGGACAGACCCGGTTTGACGAATCCGTGTCAGTTAAGCTATCATTTATTCAATTCACTTTACTGAAAAGTAAGTTCAATCCTCACTGGACCCCCCAAACTTTCGGCCTTGTGCCACATCTGAGCTTCGCTTAAAAATCACCAAATATCAGTCGGAATGTTGTAAAATATCAATTGAAATAAAAAAAAAACTTATTAATATTTAAATTTTATTTTCTAAAAATTAAAAAAAAAAAAACCCTCAAAAAGTTAATAATACAAGAAAATATTTACCCATATACCGACTGAAACCAGTGTAATACAAAATTCTTTCTGTTGTCGTTGTTTTACCAGCATCGATATGAGCCATGACACCGATGTTTCGAATCTTAGTCATGTCAGTTTCTTTTTTGGACATTTTCTTTTGAAAGACATTTTTGGTTGTACTGAATGGCAGCGCCAAGTTATTGACGATTGTCGGTCGAATGCCATTCCACAGGTAAAATGGAGATGATCGCATGAAAATCCGGAACCAATTTTTGTTCAACGAAAAGATGTACAAGCCCATCTTAAATTGTTACTTTCTTTTTTTAAAAATCACAAACTTTTTTCATCTTTAAACATGTTTACAGGCAAAGGTTAAACACGCCGCTAGTAAAGAAATCAAAGGGGTATAACACATGTAAACAATGTCAAGATTAAAAAGCGGTGTCCATTAAGAAAGTATTCCTTGTGAAAGAAACGCCCACTAATTTGACGTTAGTGATTTAACTTAAGCGTAGCCGGGTGTATGGAGCCCCCAGTGAAAATCGAACTCACTACTCAGTCGTAATTGCCCTACCTACACAGGCATGCAACCGAACATGACAAAAAAGAAAATTCATAAAAAAAAAAAAAAAAAAGGAGGGGATACAAAATAATTAAAAAAGCTGAACCAGTTTTTGTCGGTCCTCTCTTGTCAGAGCGAAGATTGAACACAATATGTACACGGTGACTACAAAAGATATTATAGAAATACTCTTGCACATTTTTTATTTGAATTTTCAAATTCTGGTGAATCTTCTTAATTTTTCAGTTAATGATTGAATAAGCTCATGGCTAGTTCTACGTCAATAAAATATCCGTAGAAATTCCTCTATTACATGATTAAATATTTGAGTTTAACAATTTTAATAAAATATTGCAATAACAAACATTAAATATGAATACTGGTCGTTATTTTAAGAAGTGGATACAAATGAAAAGATTTGAAATTGACAACTTTTTCCTTTCATTGAAACAGACATTAAACACATGAGAGTGTTTTCGCCTCTTATAGCTTCTCTTTCTTTCTTACTTACTTTCTTTTTTCTTTTCCTTTTTTTCTTATGAATTAAGAAGAGGTTTAAAATTTGTATCTGTGTATCGAGGGCGGCGGTGCACAAAAATTAACGTTTACGGTGTCCCCCGCATGGATTGAAGAAGAGCAGCTAGCAGCCTTCCTCTCGAAGTATGGGCAGTTGGAGCAGCTGACCACAATTGCAGGTAGCAGATGGAAGTCCGTGAAATACATCGCAATTGTCTACCTAACCAAGAAGATTTTTTTTTTCTGCTATACCCAATGTGGTTAAATGTGGAGGATCTGGATTCATAGTGGTCAGCGACAGGAAGCCACCCTATTAGATCTGCCAGCAACCTGAACATCTGGCGGTAGCACGCCCAGTCCTGGATTACCTGTGAAACGGGAAGCTCCAGAAGTGCAGGGCCCAGTGAATGGCCCTGCTAACCAAGAGGTGTGAACTGAGGTCGTCCGCAAAGGGAAGGCTAAACCAGCTCCTGCTCCAATTCCAGTGTCTGAACCAGGGAAGCCAACTGAAGAGAAGTAGAAACCGACGCAGCAACCCAGGAAACCAATTGAGGATGAGCTACAGCCATTGACTGAACCTCCGCGAACGCCATCCCCCCCCCCAAAAAAAAAGGCAAAGAGAGACGAGGAGATGCCAGGACGACAATAAAAGTGGAATCGATTCCACATTTCCGAAACTTCCGGAGAAGCAAAAGAAAACTACCTCTCCATCTCTGCAAAAGAAATAAAGGAGAGTGGAGCAGCCCCCTCCGAAATGCACCACGCATAGGCAAAGGAGTGCGTGTGTGGTGTAGGGGCGTGTGCTGGAGAAGGACCGTCCAGTACACCTGAAGTCAGCTCTTTGTTCCCTGTATCAATTCCAGAGTGTAGGAGGGAATGATCTGGAGAATCCTGCCAACTACCCTCAATGTCAGATGTTAATGACATTCCAGAGGAACCCCTCTGGATGTTTAAAGGCGTGGGGATGCTGGATGCAGCTAGGGACGCTGTTCTAAACCTGTAGTTAGTGGACACTGAGAGGCCCCGTGTGAAAGAACTGGCAAAACAATGCACGGATAGAACACCAGTGCTTGTGTCCCCATCCCTTTACACGGCCCTGACATTGACATTTCCCCTCGACGTGGGTGGAATTAACACTGCCCTAGGTCGGATCAACAAAGAACTGCGGCAGGGCAGTCTCAAACAGGCTGTCGGGAAGCTTTTGCCAGAATACTTTGAGCCAACCAGAGGCAGCACCAGCCAAAAAGGCATGTCTCCTAGATTGGCTAATTTCAATGTGAAGGGCTCGAGGGACCTGCTTTGAGATCTTGAGTCCTTGATTGTGGATTTGGCTACAATCCAGGAAACCCATTTCACCTGTTTCCTTGTAATTTCTATTTTGCTTTCAGCTTGTGATATTCTTAGCATTCTTTAGTAGAACAACGCCCTGTCGCTTCAAGTCTTTGTGAAGAGATTATCCAGTAGCCATTAATAGTTTGGTTTGGTCTATTTTGTTTTACGACCTATCAACCGCAATGGGTTATTTAATGCCGACAAGATTTTTAGGATAGGTTCGTATGAATAGAATATGTATTCTTTGTCAGAAATCAGTTTGTAGATCAGGTTTCATTGACGTATTTTTGTAAAGAGTGTTTTTGTCGAGTGTCAAATGTATTACTGGTAATATGTATTTTTCTCAAAAATGTATTGCTGGTATTTTTATTATAAAAATCTATTTTTACACTTTCAATGTGTTTTGACCACAAACTGGAGACATACTTAACAGGCTTTAATTTTATAAATAATCTTTTAAAAATGTCTAATGATTTTTTCAAAGAACACATATTTATTTCGACACATTGTTTTCAAATGTTCATTTCAAATAATTTATTCTGTACAGTATAAGGTTTTTAAGCGGAATGTATCAATTGAAAAAGGGCCAATTAGATTTAGCCCAACTTAAAGTCGGCGAAAATCAAAGGAAGTGGCAGCCTTAACTCGTCAGTTGGTGGGTTGTGATGAGGAGTGTGATTGGGGTAGTGTTGAGGAAATATGATATCAGCCAGCAATACTGATCATAAATGTACAATAAATTGAATTAAAAATTAACAGAGAGATACATAAACATACTAACGCGTAGACATATATACAGACACACGCAAGTTTTACGTTTTTAAATAAATGTCTATTTTTATAAATTATTACAATTAATATTAAAATACTAAATGTGTGTTTTTTTAATTTCATGCATAAAGATTTTTAAAAATTATAAATTTTATATTAAATTATATATTTTAGTTATAGTAAATTTTGTTAAAGATTGTAATGAGCCCGACAAACATTGATGACTTGAGTCACCATTGCTTCATATGCACACTTTCTCTAGTTTAAATGTTTTCTATATAATTAGTGTTTTCTGCTTTTATTGTCATTGCATACTTTTGTTAATAGATACATTGTCGTTATTTTATATACTTTCTTTTGTTATTCATTTATTACTCGGACTCATATTCGAGTCCATAGTAACTGTTACGGGAAAAATATACCAGGAGACACGCGTTTTCTTCAAAAACACAATTAGCATTCCCGCAAAATACTGACTGAATTCGTTCTCAATTGGTATGCAGTCTGTTCTCAGCAAAGGTTATGGATTACTCTAATTAATACCTTTTCCATATAAATCAAACAAGTTTTTGTGTAGTACCTTATTAAATATTTTTGTATAATCCTTGAAACATAGCTATGAGCCTTTCCTCATTTACATTGCCCGCTCTGATAGCATTCTGGTCATAACGATAGCATTTCTTATAAAAATAGCATTTCTTAATTCCAGTTTCTTGAATAAAGCCACGATGTCCTTGCTCTATTTTCAGTCTTAAATGTTCGAAGCTGTATTAGAATCGTAATGATAATTTTAGTTATGCTGCTATTTAAACTGATTGTCCGATAGAGTTTACATTCATTTGCAATTGCTTCTTTAACATTGCTCTGAAGACAGATCTACTAACATCTTCCGGTATTTCACCACTGTCATACATTACATTTATCATTTCGGTATTCTTATCGATCCTGAAAACATCTAAAATTGGCAGAGTCTCTATTACAATCCCACCTTGACCTACTGCCTTGTTTCTTTCATCTTGTCTAGTTCCAATCTTACTTAATTTTAATACGATAGATCTTTCCATGTTTCTATATATTGTAGATTTCTCTCATCCTTTATCATCAAAGAGCTTCCTGGTGTGTTCGTTCCATTTTTGTAGTACGTGTTCTCTTTATAGACTTTATGCATCCTGTCGAAGAACACCTTTTCTGCCCTGCTATTTATCTTTTTATGTATGCCTGTTATGTCTTTGTTCCGTAGTGTTTCTATCTCTGCACACTTCTTGTTGAGTCGTTCATCTTTTGCTGGCTTGCATTCGCTTTTGCTTAATATTCTATATTCTCTGTCATTCGTTGGTATTATCGGATGTCTTTATTTCATTAGTCCGGGAATTTTGTATGTCACTCACTTCCTTTGTTTTCTCAATTACTTTTTTTTTTTTAACAGATGTTACTAGTATTTCCCTTAGTGTTTCATTTTGATTTACTCTCCTCTTATAGGCATTTTATTTTTGTTTAAAATTATATCATCATACATTTGCATGCAAAGTGAATCATTCGGAAGTCTATTGAATTGTAATTTAAGAGTTAATTTAGGCTTTTTTAATCTTTGTAATGTTATCCTTAGTTTGTGGGTTATCCCACTTGATTTTATCAAAAACGCTCGTTAGGGTGCGTTCTTTAAATCTATAAAAATACAAGCATATTCTCTATCTTCCTCTTTTTAACTCTTGCTTTCGGATATAGTTGAACCTAGATAGAGAACGCTGCCGACAAGGCGCGTTCGCTTCCTTGGTTCTCTGTTGGCTTTTTGTCACACACGCACACACACGTGTCTATCACACACGTTTATTACACACGCACAAGGAAGCACATTCTTATAGCTTGTTTCAATGTCTTTTCCTTTCATTTCAATTGTGTAATACTTTTATTAATACATGCATAAATTGTTGTTTGTCTTAAATTCATTATGTTGTTATTATTTTTACCAGGGTTCACATAAGTCCTCCGATATTGTTTATGAGACATATGTTCCAGGAACCCATAAATATTTACTATAAATCATCCATATACTTCGCAAATAAAGAGGTGAA